GACCACTGCAAATCTACCAAGACCCGGCCGTCCCTCCAAAGTTTCATCTCAAACAAGGAGAAGACTGATCAGAGATGCAGACAAGAGGCCCATGATCACTCTGGATAAACTGCAGATAACTACAGCTGAGGTGGGAGAGTCTGTCCATAGGACAACAATCAGTCGTGCACTGCACAAATCTGGCCTTTATGGAAGAGTGGCAAGAAGAAAGCCATTTCTCAAAGATATCCATAAAAAGTCTCGTTTAAAGTTTGCCGCAAGCCACCTGGGAGACACACCAAACATGTGGAAGAAGGTGCTCTAGTCAGATGAAACCAAAATCGAACTTTTTGGCCACAATGCAAAACGATATGTTTGGCGTAAAAGCAACACAGCTCATCACCCTGAACACACCATCCCCACTGTCAAACATGGTGGTGGCAGCATCATGGTTTGGGCCTGCTTTTCTTCAGCAGGGACAGGGAAGATGGCTAAAATTGATGGGAAGATGGATGGAGCCAAATACAGGACCATTCTGGAAGAAAACCTGTTGGAGTCTGCAAAAGACCTGAGACTGGGACGGAGATTTATCTTCCAACAGGACAATGATACAAAACATAAAGCCAAATCTACAATGGAATGGTTCACAAATAGACGTATCCAGGTGTTAGAATGGCCAAGTCAAAGTTCAGACCTGAATCCAATCGAGAATCTGTGGAAAGAGCTGAAGACTGCTGTTCACAAACGCTCTCCATCCAACCTCATTGAGCTCGAGCTGTTTTGCAAGGAAGAATGGGCAAGAATTCCAGTCTCTCGATGTGCAAAACTGATAGAGACATACCCCAAGCGACTTGCAGCTGTAATTGCAGCAAAAGGTGGCGCTACAAAGTATTAGCGCAAGGGGGCCGAATAATATTGCACGCCCCACTTTTCAGTTTTTTATTTGTTAAAAAAGTTTAAATTATCCAATAAATTTTGTTCCACTTCACGATTGTGTCCCACTTGTTGTTGGTTCTTGACAAAAAAAATATTTTTTATATCTTTATGTTTGAAGCCTGAAATGAGGCGAAATGTTGAAAGGTTCAAGGGGGCCGAATACTTTTGCAAGGCACTGTACTTGTATTGTCTATAAGCCTGTATACTTGTATTGCCTATATAAGCCTGTATACTTGTATTATAAGCCTGTATACTTGTATTGTCTATATAAGCTTGTACACTTGTATTATAATCCTGTATACTTGTGTTGTCTATATAAGCCTGTATACTTGTATTGCCTATGTAAGCCTGTATACTTGTATTATAAGCCTGTATACTTGTATTATAAGCCTGTATACTTGTGTTGTCTATATAAGCCTGTATACTTGTATTGTCTATATAAGCCTGTATACTTGTATTGCCTATATAAGCCTGTATACTTGTATTGTCTATATAAGCCTGCATACTTGTATTATAAGCCTGTATACTTGTATTATCTATATAAGCCTGTATACTTGTATTATAAGCCTGTATACTTGTATTGCCTATATAAGCCTGTATACTTGTATTGCTTATATAAGACTGTATACTTGTATTGCCTATATAAGCCTGTATACTTGTATTGCCTATATAAGCCTGTATACTTGTATTATAATCCTGTATACTTGTATTATAAGCCTGTATACTTGTATTCAAAGCCTGTATACTTGTATTGCCTATATAAGCCTGTATACTTGTATTATAAGCCTGTATACTTGTATTGCCTATGTAAGCCTGTATACTTGTATTGTCTATATAAGCCTGTATACTTGTATTTTAAGCCTGTATACTTGTATTGCCTATTTAAGCCTGTATACTTGTATTATAAGCCTGTATACTTGTGTTGCCTATATAAGCCTGTATACTTGTATTATAAGCCTGTATACTTGTATTGTCTATATAAGCCTGTATACTTGTATTGTCTATATAAGCCTGTATACTTGTATTGCCTATATAAGCCTGTATACTTGTATTGCCTTTATAAGCCTGTATACTTGTATTATAAGCCTGTATACTAGTATTATAAGCCTGTATACTTGTATTATAAGCCTGTATACTTGTATTGCCTATATAAGCCTGTATACTTGTATTGCCTATATAAGCCTGTATACTTGTATTATAAGCCTGTATACTTGTATTATAAGCCTGTATACTTGTATTGCCTATATAAGCCTGTATACTTGTATTATAAGCCTGTATACTAGTATTATAAGCCTGTATACTTGTATTGCCTATATAAGCCTGTATACTTGTATTGCCTATATAAGCCTGTATACTTGTATTGCCTATATAAGCCTGTATACTTGTATTATAAGCCTGTATACTTGTATTGCCTATTTAAGCCTGTATACTTGTGTTGCCTATATAAGCCTGTATACTTGTATTATAAGCCTGTATACTTGTGTTGTCTATATAAGCCTGTATACTTGTATTATAAGCCTGTATACTAGTATTATAAGCCTGTATACTTGTATTATAAGCCTGTATACTTGTGTTGCCTATATAAGCCTGTATACTTGTATTATAAGCCTGTATACTTGTGTTGCCTATATAAGCCTGTATACTTGTATTATAAGCCTGTATACTTGTATTATAAGCCTGTATACTTGTATTATAAGCCTGTATACTTGTATTGCCTATATAAGCCTGTATACTTGTGTTGCCTATATAAGCCTGTATACTTGTATTATAAGCCTGTATACTTGTGTTGTCTATATAAGCCTGTATACTTGTATTATAAGCCTGTATACTTGTATTGCCTATATAAGCCTGTATACTTGTATTATAAGCCTGTATACTTGTATTGTCTATATAAGCCTTTATACTTGTATTATAAGCCTGTATACTTGTATTGCCTATATAAGCCTGTATACTTGTATTGCCTATATAACCTGTATACTTGTATTGCCTATATAAGCCTGTATACTTGTATTGCCTATATAAGCCTGTATACTTGTATTATAAGCCTGTATACTTGTATTGCCTATATAAGCCTGTATACTTGTATTGCCTATTTAAGCCTGTATACTTGTATTATAAGCCTGTATACTTGTGTTGCCTATATAAGCCTGTATACTTGTGTTGCCTATATAAGCCTGTATACTTGTGTTGCCTATATAAGCCTGTATACTTGTATTATAAGCCTGTATACTTGTATTATAAGCCTGTATACTTGTGCCCATGTTGCTTCAAGTGGGAGCTGATTGGACAATGCCTTCAGTAATGTTACTTTATCGTCCGTACGTCCGTCCGTGGCTGTATCTGTTACAGATTACACTTCCGTCATGTTTTCCAAAGTAGAGAGGCTTAAATCTCTCAAACACACACCATCTTCTCAGCTTTAGCCCTGTTTGCAGCAGTTAGGGTGAGAGCAGTCTGATAAATAAGGTGGATGAATATATGTCACACTGGAATGAAATGACATCACGTCCATGCTGTAGAGACAAACATGATTTTAATCGTGAATCTGTGTTTTTTGTAAATCCTTTTTCATAATTCAAAAGTTTTAAAGAAACATTGTTTCTGCAGTTCTAAAAAGAACTGCACAAATTAGATTTTATATTTCACTTTTTCAGTTTAAACATTAATACAAGAAAACAATATTAAATGTTTTTTTGTGAATTTCCACATTCCCTTCATGCCAATGCCACGGTTCTTCTTCCCTCATCTACAAGGCAAACTAGAGGAAGAGTATCAATAATGTATATATATAATATATTGACCTTTATATGTATTGGAGAAATGTGTGGTCTTTTTGGTTATGTAATTTGTATAACCACCATATATGTGCAGATAAATCAGATTGAAGTATTCAGTAGTTAATTTCATCTTGGAGCCTCCACAATTCATATGTAGGGCTGAGAGTTAGTATTTCACCTTTCAAAATTGTAATTATATTGTAATAATATTGAATTAGTTTGTCATCATATGCATTACTTTCATTACTTCAATGGATTATACAAATGTATATGTTAATTTTTGTAAAAGCACAAAAAAGTTGTTTATTAATTTGACTATGGTGTGTGTGTGTGTGTGCAAAGTGTATGTGTGTGTGTGAGGTCAAGCCGGGCAGACAAAAAGTGTAACTCTGATAGGATGGTTTTAAATGTGTGTTTGGGGCTTAGAGTTTCAATCATGTGCTTGGAAAGACATTTAATCAGCCACAGAACTTGAGCCACGCAACACAGACCCGCACAGAGGACGGCTCTCCACACTCTCCACACTGACTGAAGCGTTCAGTTACACCAGACCAAACTGTCCTCACTAGACTCTAAATATAGCCACAACAATAATACTGCCATGATAGTATAGACCGACTATTATGCTTTGGATGACATAATGCTCTAAAAGAGACTTTTGAGGAGAACAATCATGAGGCTAGATGTTCTGTGTGATTACAATTTCTATAAACCACATCTATTTATTGCTATTATTGCATCTATTTCAAGCAACGTACTCCAGTACTTTTTACAATGCAGAGTTTTACTCCACTACATGAGCTGCCCTTTGAAGCACTTTCTTTGGAATTCAAGCCCCAAATTTAAAAAGTCAATTTATCCCAAAAATGAAGAGGAAGACAATCGTTATCAATATTTAAAGCGTTATCAGATCTCAAGATCTAAATTATGTATTCTTAAACAGAATACTGCAATACTGTTACTTCTGTAGATAACTTCTTGCAATAACTACTATACTTTTATCTTTACTTTCATAATTTATCTATTGAAAATGACTCTCTCTCTGCCAATCAGATCTCATCCCAAAACATCCAACAGTGACTCAGATAGCTCTTTCTTACAAATAAAGTAAAATATATAATATTTTCTTGTAAGATCACAAATTGTCTGTTGCCGTCTGCTTCTTTTCTTCCATTATTACAATTATTGTTTAAAAAAAGAAAGAAACTCCCGCTTTAATTATAAAAACAATACGTTTTGGTCTGATTCGTTCACAACAAGAGGCATGTTGTTGGGTCAAACAAAATGCACCACAGCTGAAACTCTTACCTGTCCAAACACCGAGGTGACCATGGGCAGCAGGTCCACTGGCTCCGCCTCCGTCTCGGGCGGGTCCTCCTGCTCTTTGCGGTGCGGTCCCTCCATCAGCTCCTCCAGCGTCTGCTCCAATTTGTGCGCCTCCTCGATGGTGGGGTTGGGCCTCACCACTTGGGATTTCTTGCGTCTGGGCGTCTGCGGCGTGGGGACCTCGCCGGACGTCTTTCCCTGGCTGTTGCTCTTCTTCTTCTTCTGCTTCTCCACTTTCTTCTTGATGGCAGCTTGGACCTTGAGTTGGAACAGGAGAGGGGCAGTTCAGCGCTAAATTGCCCTAGTACACGCACTTATGTCACCTTCTGCAAAATTTGGTGCCCAGTGTCCTGCATGTGACACCCGGGCATTTAACATGCATGCAAATTAGGAAATGCATCTGTCACTTTTCAGGTAACGAGGCAAGGTTATTAAGGTGAAGATTTTACTCCTGGGTTTTTACAGTTTAGGACTAGTCACAATAAGAAGGCTGAAACTTAAAAGCAAACAAAAATAAACATGTTATAATTGGGAACACTTGAGACCACAGACCAATACATTATTCATTAACCATTCAAATACTGCATACATTATGTATAAACGCAACATTAAAAACATGTATTTATCATTGTTTGTAAAGTCAACAAAAAGTGTGACTTTGTGATGTATTTGAGAGCCAACATGAGGTGGCGTGTGACCACAATTTCTGATGAAAAAAGTTAATTTAGGAGGATGTTTATGGACAATACTAGCTTTGAACAAGACTATCGATAAAACTAGTTTACATACCGATTACAATGCCAAATTCTGCTGTTCAATTTTTACCTTTTTTTCTGATAGCAACATAATAACTTCATTCCTTCATTCATTGACATTCACACTAATTCTGCCTCTCCTCAGATACCTTGCCCCGCCTTGGCCTCCTCTATAGCATAAGGTGGGCCGGATGAGGATGTGTCCACGCACCTGTTTCTCCGACCTCTCCTGTGGCGCGCTCCTTGCCCCCGGACTGCCTCCTCCTGCTGGCGTCTCTCGAATGATCATGAACATGTTGGCTCCGCGGTGATGCCGAAGCTCCCTCCCCCCTCCCTCACCCGCCTCTCTCCTCCGCCGCTGTGGCCCTGGCAGCAGCTGGCCCTAAACGCTGGCTGCTTTTTCACTCCTTTTATGTGTTAAATCACTCCATCTGCAACAGAGCTCATGATGGGATCAAAAGTGTAAAAGTGTTGCCCAAAAGGTTGATTGAAAGTGGTGTAAAAGTAGTTCGAGATCCAGAAAGCACTTAAACAAAACTGCAGTAAGTTAAAAAAAAAAAAAAAGTCTCAGCTTCTCGCTTTCTTCCGAGAAAACACAAACGTATTCGCTTAGTTGGCTCCTTCAGTGTTGCACCTTGCTTGTCTAAATTTCTGTCTCCTGGTGCGTTTCAGGTGAGCTGGTTTTTATCATCAGCAGTAGTCTTGTTTGTAGGATTGGGTTCCTGCACCTCCAACCTCACTGGCGATCTCTGCTCCTTTAGGTGACACTCTATACCTCCCGAACATCACTGGCCCCTTGCGTTATCTACTTCTCACACACTAACCTCTCTCTCTCTCTCCTCCTTTCCTGTCTGCTTTTCCCTTTATACGTAATACAATAACAATAATGCAAAACAATGCTCCATTTACTATGTTTACCAAAAGTCTGAAAAGGCACATCCTGACCTAACCTTGGTTTTTTTTTTCAGAAATGTGATGTAAAATTATTTGATGTAAAAAACCTTAGATCTGAGAGCCTACTAAAATCAATAACATAAATAAATAAAGAAAAGAAAGAAACAATGTATGGAAATATGTGTGGAAGGTGTTAAAGAAGGTTCCCTGGAGTCAGAAGCTCATGTAATTCTCTGCTTGGGTGCCTATAGAATTGATACCTATTTGTAATTGCTTTTAAAACTCCTTGTAAATCAATGTGTCACATGAGAAGGAACGCCTTGTCCACAGAATCGACCTGTAACAACAAAATTATTGTTATGATGATTACAGTATGACTTATAGTGTGACTCATTGTAGGTAATAAGCAGGTGGCACTTTACTCTTTCATGCAGGGATGTCAAACCGGTCCACAACGTGCCGCTTTGACATCATCCCTGCTCTAGTGTAAAATGTCAAGTCAGTCAAAAATGAGACAAACATGAAACCTGCATCGAAGTGTAGACAAAAATTGTTGTGTGTCGTAGTGCAGTGAGTTTCATATTCATATAAAGTACTAAACCGGGGCTAAACCAGGAAAAATGCATTGTAAAACAAGCCTAAATCAGCTTGAACATTGAAAAAGCAGTAAACAATGAATGTGAAATGAGAAAAAAAAGGACAACTCCAGTAATGTTTGTTTTACACACTTTCTTGAAAATCTCTACTTAAGAGCTTGTTTTGGGAGATTCCCCTTAATCCCTAAACCTCGTCATATCTGAAGCCTTTGTTTTGTCCCAAATTGCATTGCTGTTATTTGCCAAAGTCAAATCTCCTCTTCAGTGTAACACAACAAAGGCAGAAATCTGCGGTCATGATATTATGGCTCTTGTTTTGCAGAACAGCACATGACTAATGACGTCCTTATTTGTGCATAATCGTGTTTGATGCGAGTGGCTGAGCGCAGGTGCAGCGTGACATCACAGGAGAGAACGATGTGCAAAGAAGCGTGTGCACAGATCAGAGGCATTTCAGCTTCAGAGAGACATGAGAGTAAAACACCTGATTATTCAAGACACACACTGTTGTATAATTGACTGCTACATCCTCAATATTATTAGTAATCAACATTAATTTCATCTCTCAATTGTACAGGAATCTTTATTAGTTCCACAGAGGTACATTTCAGTGTTGCAACGCACATACAGGACCGTAGTCAGAGCGCGCAAGGAGAACACACGCAGAGAAATGCTACATGTAAATTATTGATGCTTTGTAGAAAATTACTTATTTTGTTTTTCAATTAACTACTCACATTTTCTGTTATTTTTTTGTTAATTCATAAGCGCAATGTATGTCTGAACCATCAAGTGCGATATTAAATGAAAATATGTAACCAGTGTATTTTAGGTAAACAACAACTTTTATATTGACTCGTCATTAAGAGATAAGATAAGATATACTTTATTGATCTCACAAAAGAGAAATGTACATGTCACATCTGGCATGGATAGAAACACTCAAGATTGTACAAAAGAAAGAAATGTGCAAACATGTTAAATGCAGGATATTTTATGTACAATAGAAAGTGGCAATTAAAAAGTGGCAATCAAGAAACAGTGTCAATAGTAATGCAGGTTTTTTTCAGTCTTAATGCAGTGTCTTAAAGTGACTTGTTGTACAGTCTGACAGCAGTGAGGATAAAGGCCTTGCGGTAGCGCTCCTTCTTACACTAAGGGTGCCTCAGTCTTCCACTGAAGGAGTCCTGTGCAGTGGGTGGGAGGTGTTGTTCATGATGGAGGTGACTTTGACTAGCACCCTCCGGTCCCTCACCTCCTAAGAAGATGCTCTTGAATGGTAGTGATTCAAAATATTTTAAAATGCAATGTTAATTTTGTGCTCAAAACTCAATTAATCCAATGACGAATTACCAAACTATTCAATGATCAAAATAACCGTTAATTACAGCCCAATAGATAAAAAACATAAAAACAGTTTCCTATTCATGTAGAGCTGCACAATTCTGGCAAAATATTGAAGAGTAATTTTTCTGATAAACATTTGATTACTATTACATTAGTTGTGTCCTTGGGGAAGACACTTAACCCCACTTTGCCCGAAGCCCCCACTGAAAGATCAAGGCTATGCTCACACTCAGAGCAGCCGTCCTCCTGTGGACTCACCACCTGCAGAGGGTCAGTGAGAGGCTGGTGCTATGAGACTTGGGTGGCATCTCTGACTGCCACCCCCTGACCCAGAAATGGATTAAAGAGTAGAAATTGGATGGATGGATACAATTACATTCACAATATATGTTTTAGAGAAGTGGAATAAAAATGAAGTGCAAATTTCAGGACCAGTTAAATGTACGGAAGCCCCAAGAGGCAAAGGGGTGGAAAAACACATCCTGCTTTATTACAAAATAATTAAATCGTTTTACAGTCACTTTTCTGCAGGTTCGTCTGTTTTCACTACACCTCATTTTCTCAGCTTTTTGTCACACTCCTCTTTTCGACTGGAGATCGCAGGAGAACAAAACAAGCTAAAAACAAACTTGTTTTTGTTGCTGAAAGTAGACAGTCCAGTCTTTCAGACTCTGGTTTCATATTTTTCATAGCACACAATATTCTTTGAGGCTTGAAAATCAGTGAAGTCATCAAAAATGGCTGGCAGTCAATGAGAACCTGTTTTTCTAGGGAGTCCTGTACAGACATTACATACAATTACAGATTATAAAATAGTTACATACAGATTATTAAACAGTCACATATCATTTCATACAATTACAGATTATAAAAACAGTTACATTTCACTGAAGATGTCTCAAGTGTTCTCAATCTGGATCTGAAAGCATTCGATGACATACAGTCAGATCATTTCCAGTCTTTTTGCAACACGTTCCATGTAGAAGGAGCAGCAAATGCAAAAGCTTCTTTAGGAATGAAACCTCTGCCTTGTTTTTGATGAATACTTAGGTTTATTACGCTACTGTGTGGTGTTGGTCATTTGTGGAGGTACTTGGAGAGGCAAGTATTTCCTGAGGGGGTACCTGGTGTAAAAGGTTTGAGAACCACTGTTTTAGCATAACAAACTCTTGATGTTCCAGGCCAATAAACTACCTGTTTAAGTGTGGTCTCATGCTTTTGTCCTCTCCGGTCACCCCGTATTAAGCCTCTAAATGTGATACACACTGTACATTGCCCAGACAGTGGACCCAACGTATGGCTCGACTTCTCTCCGATTCCTAATGAGGTTTCCATTAATCACTTAAACTTGGACTTAAACCACACACACACACACACACACACATACACACACAAACACACATGCCCCCATGTCTCTCCTCCGCATCACACCATCCCGGTCCCAATTAACTATAGATGAGGCAAATTCTTTACTAGATCCATTACAGAAGCAACAACTTACTGATGGTCAAGGTTAAGAATAGACCGTACACTTTCATAACCTTTAAATTGTCAATGAACTGCTTCCATCGGTTGAGAAAATATAAATGTTGGACAAATTTTGGGGGAAAGTTGATTAGAATCTGGATTTTAACCTTGGTCAAAGACAACAGGTGATTGAGGGAGTGGCAGCTTTTCGGAATGTAGAAGTGTAGGCTTGTGTTACTATCAGGCTTCTTAATATCTAATTACAGATGAAGGCGCCCTGGACATAACCCAAAGTCCACAGAGAACGTATGGAAGGCTGACGCACACAGGTGCAGCAGACAGAGATAAAACTTTTATTTAGGTCAGACCAATTCTCATTATTTATTTGTAACAGAATCAGTCAAAAATACTCCAGAGGCCAAATGGCAACGTGTTAACCATGGACAGCAGATAAGGACAAAGTGTCTATGGCAATCAACAATGGAATCAAATGGCAAGGCTACAATTGCAGGTTAGATTAATAATAGCAACATTATATCGTAATTATTCCTTTGATATTTCTTATTTACATTATCTTAATATATTTATACACACTGAAAATACACATGCAATAGATGTCCGGTAAATTGTATAAATTTATTCATACACTTTTATTTTTTTCTCTTTTAGAGCATGCTGTTCCAGATCGGTGCTTCATGTCATTCTAAATTTGTTTTATGCCAATTTGGAGCTTTGAAAAAAAAACTTGAATCTCAGTGTGTAACCACGCCCTCTAGTGGGACAATATAGAAGTAGCACCAAAGCTGTGATGTAAAATGAAAGCAGCATACAACGTTTCTGGGAATTCAGCCCACAACATTCTGTATTCATCACATTATCTTTTGAATACTTGGATTATAGAGCCTTGTGAATCACTATTTGACTCTTTGGGCTTAAACCTGATTGGCTGAGTGAGGATGGTTCTCTTTTTTTCACATTTATATCTGAAAAAGCGGATCTAAAGCTGTGACAGAAGACATGTATGTGAAAACTTGCATTGCGAGCAAGGGTTAAATGGCGTTTCTTACATAATACTTTTATTTTTTTTCAATGGCCAGAAAGTTAGCTACCCCAGCTTTAAATGTTATGAATTCACATTAAAAATACACTTTGTTCATTACATATTTTATGCTTTTAAAAAAGGTATGATATTAGTCATGCAATTAATTAAAAAAATATATATATCGCAATATTTTTTACCATTTAAAAAAGGCACATTGTGTTTCTGGTTTGTGTCTATAAAGTGCCAAGAAAAACAAGTTAATCCCAGTGCGGTGAAACTATAATGAGAGGCTCTCGATTTAGCCCGTTGATGATGGGCCAGGGGTTAAAATATGGGAAAACCGGCTCTTTGAATTTAGCGCCGTAGAACGTGAATAGATGTTCCATATCCTCCGCATTGTAAAAGGCCACCTCCCCTCGGCCACAGTCCAGGTAGACCCCCACGATCCTGGGACGTTTGGACGGTTGGACCAGGCCCTCCTCCTCCGAGTCCGTGCAAGCCTCGTACTCGCTGGTGCCGTCTCCGTTGTCGCGGAGCACCAGTGTCCAGAATCCGTCTTCGGGACAGAGGCTGATCTCCTCCTTTCTGTTGACCGAGGCCGTGGCCACTCCCAGGCCCCAGGCGTTTTTCGAGCCCACGTCCACCTCCCAGTAGTGGCGCCCGGAGGAGAAGGACTCGCAGCCCAGGACGATGTTGTAGAGGGTGAAGCGCTCGGGGTTGTTGGGTAGATTGGGACGGATGTTGCCCACCAGGACGCTGGTGCGGCATTCAGACACCCACAGGCAGGGGTAGGCAGTGTTAGGGTCAAGGGTCACTTTAGTCATAGCTGAAATAGAAGACAAAAAAGACCTTTAGTTTTCCATAGATGTATGTGTGCTTAGGTCACGCTGGTTTTTTTGTGGGAGCATTATCTGAAGTGAAAATGAACCTAATTTCTTTACCAAACAAAATTGAATGTGGAAATGATATAATTTTGAACTGGTCTCTCTCTCTAAAAACAGTTTGGTTTTATCATTAGTTTCTGACTAGTCTCTGTCTCATTTATAGATCAATTTTTTTCAGGAAGAAAACCCCCAAAGAGAGGACCACCCTGACCCAATCAGCTCAAAGTGTCTCACAAGGCTCGTTACTTCAGTTTTATCAGGGTCAAACTGAGATAAAAATTTGGATCTGCAGACAAAGTATCGGAAAACAAATCAAAATAATCATTAGTTCAGTACATGATAGGCGGGGGTGCCAAACTCATTTTGGTCGGGGGCTGAATCAAAAAGGTAAGAGCTGGCTTTTGGCGGAAATTATAATAAAAAGTAATTTTCTTTGTGGGAAGTTGGCTCCAAATTAATCTTTTACCTCATCTAAGGTAAGTATTTTATGATATTTTCTGGTAAATATTTTTGAACAAAGCTAGCTCAGAGACTGTTTGGATGGTACCAAAATTGAACTAAAGGTTAAAAAAAGTCTATTCAACTATCTATAATATATTTGGTTAACATTCCAGAATAAAATAAAATACTGTCTTGTTTATTTGAGACAAGTAACACATTTCTTTAAAATGAGGTATAACAAGCCATGGCAGCAATAGTAGCCAATACAACTGGTCCCTCTGTCCTTGTTTGTCATAAGGGGTCGATTAAAAGTGATAATAGTTAAACATAAACTGTTTACTTTAAGTCTTGAACAATTGCAGGCATCGATCGTGACCTTCAGCTGAGAGATGTACTCACTCGCCTCTAATCTCCTGAAAGACGAGACACCCCACAGTTGTAGCTAAATGGACATAATGAATTTTAAATGGCAGTGTGTATAGCAACTTTGACGTAACCTGAATTCAGATCTGTGCGGTCGGTGCAAATGCCCTTGGTGGCAACACAAAGAGGCACAAAGGAAGAGGCGAGTTACAAGTCTATTAATCATGGCATTTCTAACATTCTTGTCGCCACAGCTTAGCAGGAGTTAACTGGAGTTCCGCAGCAAAAGCAAATAAACAGTTTAGAGGGTTTTGGACAATGGACAAGCTCTTACAGTGAGTGGGCTCAGTGCATTCACAGAGTCTTATTACTGGACTGCACACAAACAAAATCATTGTTATTTCAAATAGAGAGATACTTGATTCATCCCAGTAGGAGAAATTCATGTGTTCAAAACATCCGAACAACACATGCCACCTTTATACTCATCATAATGATCATAAACAGGACATATGCATATTTTCAAAATGTCCCAATATAAGACAAATAAAGGTTCTCTGATCTGAGAGGCTTTTTTCATGGAAGTCTTTGTTTAATGTCTTTTGACACCCATGCTTTTGATTTTGACTTTGACTGCTGAAGTTTGTTGATTTGTCTAGTAGGTTAAATGTTAAAAAAAATTCAGCAATGCACCCATGCTCCAGAAATGACTCAGAAATGGTCTGATATGTCACATCAGCACAAGAAAGAAAAGCAAAGAACATTCACAGATAACACCAGTGCTTTGGTGTTTTAACCCTTTGAATGTTTTACTCAACCATTTTGAAGCACTATATCTACTTGGAAAACTCCAACTGTAACTTGTAACTGAAATCTACCTGATTGGGGTAACTGCTCAAAATATCCACCAGAGGTCAGTGTTTTTGAGTTTCTGACTAACAGCTTCCCTAACAACAATCATTGGAGGAATGAGTTCAGACTATTTAATACTTTACTCAACATCAAGACCAAGCATGCTATTAAACTTCTGTTTAATAGCATTGAGAAATGCCCTGTACATCTACAGGAAACAGCAAATACCTAAATATATGCCCCAAGTTTTATTTTATTTTATTTTTTACGTTTTTTACAACTTTTTTTGGGAAACATTATTGTTTATATGTGTTATATCATCTAACACATGACTATACAATAAGATTTAACTTGATACAGCAAAAAACATATTTGCAACAGTTAAATCATGCTTGACCATGTGGTTGAGTTGGCCCTTCATGGTACACATGAGCATGAAGTGACATCCCAACCGTATGGTAACAATTTGATGAATTCATGCTAACATTTATTTGAAATGATCAATAAAAAATATGGAAGAAAAAAATTTAATAAATAGGAGTGAACAGTAAAACAAGTAAAATGTGATTAAATAGAGTAATGGAGTTAATCTCTTTTATAAAAGGATCATGGCCTTTTATGAGACTGATGCGATTATTGTATTTCAACATGTTGCGGCCTGCATGACATCACTGGTCCTTTTCTTCAGAACGTACAAGTTAACTGTCACTTTAACCAATTGATGATTGTGTTCGCACATTGTGTAAAAAAACCAACAAACAATTGACAACTTCACAAACCTGATATGTCCTCAAGTATAACCTATTTCTTGTTCATATGTACACTTTTATACATTTTGCCTTTAAAGAACACTATGAATTTTGCACTGAGCTGATTGACTGATTGGAGGTTGTCCTTTAGTTTTCACTTTTCTGTCTGGACAATGTGACAGAGGCAAAAAATACATGCATTTGAAAACTAGCGATAGAACTAAACTGTAGTGAGAGTGAGGTTTTTCGACTAAACTGAAAGTTTTTTTATTTTTTACCTGACTTAAAGATTTGCCACATCTTCCTCCATGTCCTGTACTGAAGAGGGCCCAGGATGTCCCCAGACTGCAGATCCACACTGACCTCTAGGGGGCGGTCAAACAGGCTCTCAGCTCTGGACAAACAAGAGCCTGCTTTCAGCACAGGTTTCAAAACAATCAAAACAAATCAATGAACAAACATGTGTAGCATTTACAGAATGTGAATTTCAGAAGCACGTCTAAAGGCAGACTTCTGTTTTCTCAGAGGTCTACCTTTACAGAAACAGACAGTGGACGTGCCAAACATTCCTGAATACTTTTCTGTCAACAGCTGAACTCACATGATCTCGAAAAATAAACATTAGAACCATGTCTGACTCGTCTTGTAATTATATTCTAATTTGGAATACATTCAACATAAAACATAAACATAGCAGCTATTGCATACAAAATAAGATAAGATAGACGTTATTGATCCCAAACTGGAGAAATTTACTATTGTGTATTATGAGTGCTCCCAGTGTCCTTTTACTACTGTCCTGTATGTGCGCTGCAACACTGGAATTTCCCTGAATAAAGGATCTCTTATCTTACTTTAGACTTTTTGTATATCAATTCATCTACATGACACTGTCTTTCAGTTTGGACTGTTTATTTAAAATGAGCATGTTCCTAATGAAACTCAGAATTGACTCATTTATTCTACAGCATTTACTCATTTATTAGTCTTTCTTGACCCATTCTTGCCCTTGCGTCTTAAATTCAGGTCAGTTCCTGAGCTTAGTGAAATTAAACCGGATGAAATACTTTGTCCTGAATGAACAGTGTGTCCAGTGTTTTGCATTTGTTTACGTGCACTTTATCAGTTAGGCCATAGTTATGTCCCAACATCCTGTCACGGCCCGAGGTACAGTTTATCCTTAAGACAGACTTGTGACTTACAAAAGCAAATTACTCAATGAATTATTTCTTTTTTTTTTTACGGTTGTCACGTAGCAGATGTATTGCTGCGATAAGAAACACACTCACCCTCCGATGAAGTCTTTGATTCCCTGGAGAGAACAGATTGAAACACGTTAGATTCCAAAGGTTTGAAAAACATATTATTGTCAAATGCTCTATGCTCAGACATTTCAAGATGCATTTAATGATAGAATTAGATTATTGATCAAATAAAAATTTAATTAAATGTTGTTTTCCTATGTGACGGCTGCTAACAAACCATACTGCCATACATTGTTTTCATAGTAACCTTATGTAGAGAGCATATTTTACTAATAAATGACATCTATAGTCTGCATTTTTTCATCCATGCTTATTTCAAAATCTACAAGTTTCTCAATATTAAAATGGTAAAATGATAGTTATAGATGTACCTTGAGTTGCTCAGGGTTTTCCTCCTCCTGGAGCTTGGCACACAATTCATCAGCAGTTTTCTCCAGTTGGCTGATCTGCTCTGTGGCCTGTGTCAGAGCCTGCTCTAGTTGATCAAGTTTGTCCTCTTTCTGCTTCTGTAGTTTTGCCTTGATGCGCTGCTCCTCTTCCAGAAGAAAGTCCCTCAAACGGCCAATTTCCGCTGTGACCTGCTCCTCCAGGTCTCCAGCTTTTTCCTAACAAACATGCAGTGGATAAGTACAAGCCATTACAAAATCTTCTGTGATTGAGTTTCTGGAATGTGGAGTAAATGTTCAATGAACTTTTTCAACCATTATTCCAGTATTTTGATGTGTGTATTCATTTACATACACACAGATAACACGTGTCGAGAGGAAACTGATGTTATTACTCATTCGTCCACATCCTGACAAATGCAGAAGTGAAATCTTTGGATGCGCATTTAAACTGGGTCAAATAGACAGGCAGGAAAGCACATGTTCACAATAGAAACCAATCACACTCAGCAGATATCTTCATTTGCAGACTTCTGCGTTGGCCCTTATCTGCTTCTATGGGGGTGTGTGGCATTGGCACAGTGCACGGTAATATTGTGTTTACGATTTCCACTTTAACAGGAACACAAACACAGAATGACGCACACCTCTGTCATAAATGACCAAATGGAGATTTACAGCTTTACCGAATGTGAGAAAGCCCAAGTCTGAACAGTGAGTAATGACTGAGTCGTCGACTCTTGTGGAGAACAGGTGTGGAATGCAGGTGAGTGCTGCCTAGCAACAGGATTTTTGAGTTCTGTCCCAACTCATCTGAGCACAACACAAGCTCGTACACCTAATGGAGGATGCACAAGGACTCGATACCTTGATGAGGAGAATCTTATCGTTGGTTTGTCTCTGGAAGAGCGTGACCTCCTCCGCCTGCAGCTGCACCCTCTGCAGCGCCACGGCCAGCTTGTCCTGAGTCATATGAAAGACATTAACAGTGTGTTACTGAGGAAGACCAAAGACATAATCAGATTAAATAATCCTTGCTCTGAAAAACAAGAGTCTTAAATAGGATTCATATGATGATCTGCCTCCAACCGAACACCGTGACCTACTAGTCAAACAAAACAGGAATTTAGCAGCAGTAAAGTGTTCAAACAGGAGCGGTCAACACTTAAGAGCTGCATTCCTGTGGACATTAAACAGAGTCCCCCAGCACAACATGCAGGTCCTGGGACAGGAGGCAACAGGCAACAGCCAAAGACTTGCTTGAATAAAAAGTGGAAGCGCTGCCAGAGTTCGAAAACATTGAGACATATGACAAGTCAGTGCACATTATTCTGAACATTTAGGCCTTGAATGTTTTAGCTCTGTGCTGGGAGAAGGACATAACCACTGGTATCTAATGCTCTTGTGGCATTACGTTAATGCATTCTTTCTACAAGTTAGAAAGCGTCTGAAAGGCAATACCCTGTAGTTTTCAAAGGCTTCGTTGATGGGGATGACGTTGTGGGTCTTGTGGTCCCGGGACATGCCGCATACCAGGCAGATGGGCAGCTGGTCATCTTCACAGTACAGCTTCAGCTTCTCTTCGTGCTCCTCGCACATGTCCTCGCACATCCGGGGCCAGTGTGAGATGGACGAGGTCACACTGCTCATGCTGGAGCCGGGCTCACGCTCCTCGCAGATGTCGTGCTGGTGTTCGGGGTCCCAGGCCGCGGGACAGTCAGAGACGTCCATGACGCGCGCACGGCGCACGCTGTCCACCACGTTACACAGCAAGGAGTTGGGGCGCAGCTTGCGCGCACAGGCCTTTCTGCACTTGGGGCAGTTGGTCAGCTCTTCGCTCTTGACCTCCCAGCACTGGATGATGCACTTCTGGCAGAAGTGGTGACCGCACTCGAGGATGACAGGGTCCCGGAACAGCTCCAGGCACACGGGGCAGGTGAGCTCGGACTGGAGCTCCTCAAGAGCGTTGGCCTCCGCCATTCTCAGCTGCGAACATAGTCCCGATAAAACCAAAGTGCTTCGAGTTTGACTCAGAAAGTTTGAGCAGACTGCGAGAGGCGTGGTCGGCGCGTATGAGGAAGAGGCTAGAGGCGTGTAGCAGCAGGCAGCCGTCACAGCCCAAGGACAAACTGGTTTAATGCACTTGTGGTATGACCGACTCATACTATACAGCACAATGCTTAGCTGACCGCGGTAAAGTGGGCCGCATCTTTCACCTCCGAAGTAAAACGGCCCGCAACGAAAGAAAAACAGTGCGCGTTTTGTTGACTACTTACGGTAATAGCGGAACAGCCTTTCGGAGTCACATTTCTCACCGCGGTGAAGTTGGTTTCACGTTGGACGTTGGATATTCGCCTCCAGCGCTAAGATCGTTCGAACTTAGGGACCGTCTATGAATTACTGTCTTTGTAAGAAGGCGTTGGTTTAAAAAAAATAATGTAGGTGTAAATCAATAATGTGATACAAATAAACAATTTTAATGAAAGGAGATAGATTAAATGTAATCTTTAGGTGTATTTTCTACCACATTTAATATTATAGTATTTTATACCTACTGTTGAATGTAGCCTATATATTTTCAATAAGCCTATATTCGGAATCATGTGAACCAGCAAAGTAAATAATATTTACCACACGTTTTTATTCCTATTTTCATGTTTTGAAACTTTAGAAAAATCATAATCCTGGAAAATCACCAAAAAATACAATATTTTTTTCAATAGGTTTATGGTTATGTGACCCAGTCACCCCAAACCACTTTACAAAATTAGTACTACCTCTAGGCTATGGGGCTCAGGCCATGAAATTATGCTTAATAGATTTGGTGTATTTTTCAAGGATTTTTGATTGAAAGTATGGGTTTTTCCTCAATAGCTTTTAAGGCATTTGACCCAGTCACCCCAGAATACTTTACAAAATTAGTACTACCTCTAGGCTATGGGGCTCAGGCAATGAAATCATGCTGAATAGATTTGTTGTATTTTTCAAGGATTTATTTATATAAAGTATGTTTTTTTCCTAAATAGCTTTTAGAGCATTTGACACAGTCACCACAGAATACTTTACAAAATTAGTACTTCCTCTAGGCTATGGGGCTCAGGCAATGAAATTATGCTGAATAGATTTGGTGTATTTTTCAAGGATTTTTTATATAAAGTTTGGGTTTTTCCTCAACAGCTTTTAGGGCATTTGACCCAGTCACCCCAGAATACTTTACACAATTAGTACTTCCTCTAGGCCAGCCATTCCCAAACTTAGTAACACCGAGGCCCCCTTAAAAATCTGACGGGTCTGCGTGGCCCCCCAAAATAATAACCAAGAAGACAACATTAAGAATAGGCTCTTCTGGTTATTTTATTTTGGGGAAATAGCCTCTGCTACAAACATTGTAATACAAAAATGATTACAGTGGATTATTCAAGTCAAATAATGAACACAAATATTTTAATATTACAAACAAAACATTATAAATTTAACATTAAATAATTATATTATTTTTTTATTTTTTTTATGACCTCCCGCGGCCCCCCTGCAGTACCCTCGCGGCCCACCAGGGGGCCGCGGACCCCACTTTGGGAGACACTGCTCTAGGCTATGGGGCTCAGGCCATGAAATTATGCTTAATAGATTTGGTGTATTTTTCAAGGATTTTTTTATATAAAGTATGGGTTTTTCCTCAATACCTTTTAGAGCATTTGACCCAGTCACCACAGAATACTTTACAGAATTAGTACTACCTCTAGGCTATGGGGCTCAGGCCATAAAATTATGCTTAATAGATTTGGTGTATTTTTCAAGGATTTATTTATATAAAGTATGGGGTTTTCCCTCAATAGCTTTTAGAGCATTTGACCCAGTCGCCACAGAATACTTTACAAAATTAGTACTTCCTCTAGGCTATGGGGCTCAGGCAATGAAATTATGCTGAATAGATTTGGTGTATTTTTCAAGGATTTTTTATATAAAGTTTGGGTTTTTCCTCAATAGCTTTTAGGGCATTTGACCCAGTCACCCCAGAATACTTTACAGAAATAGTACTACCTCTAGGCTATTTGGCTCAGGCCATAAAATTATGCTTAATAGATTTGGTGTATTTTTCAAGGATTTTTTTTTATATAAAGTATGGGTTTTTCCTCAATACCTTTTAGAGCATTTGACCCAGTCACCCAAGAATACTTTACAAAATGAGTACTACCTCTAGGCTATGGGGCTCAGGCCATGAAATTATGCTGAATAGATTTGGTGTATTTTTCACGGATTTTTTATATAAAGTTTGGGTTTTTCCTCAATAGCTTTTAGGGCATTTGACCCAGTCACCCCAAAACACTTTACAAAATTAGTACTACCTCTAGGCTATGGGGCTCAGGCAATGAAATTATGCTGAATAGATTTGGTGTATTTTTCAAGGATTTATTTATATAAAGTATGGGGTTTTCCCTCAATAGCTTTTAGAGCATTTGACCCAGTCGCCACAGAATACTTTACAAAATTAGTACTACCTCTAGGCTATGGGGCTCAGCCCTTGAATTTTTTCTTAAAAGCTTTTAAAATTATTTTTGGGTTAAAAATACCAGTTTTTCTTCAATAGCTTTTAGGGCATTTGACCCATTTACTCCAAACCACTTTTAAATAATAGTAATACCTGAGGGCTATGGGGCTCAGCCCTTGAAATTGTTCTTAAAAGCTTTTAAAATTATTTTGTGCCTAAAAATACCAGTTTTTCTTCAATAGCTTTTAGGGCATTTGACCCATTTACTCCAAACCACTTTTAAATAATAGTAATAAATGAGGGCTATTGGGCTCAGCCCTTGAAATTGTTCTTAAAAGCTTTTAACATTTTTAAATGATTTTTTTGGTTAAAAATACCTGTTTTTCTTCAATAGCTTTTAGGGCATGTGTCCCATTTACTCCAAACCACTTTTGAATAATAGTACTACCTGAGGGCTATGGGGCTCAGCCCTTGAAATTGTTCTTAAAAGCTTTTAAAATTATTTTTTTGGTTAAAAATACCAGTTTTTCTTCAATAGCTTTTAGGGCATTTGTCCCATTTACTCCAAACCACTTTTAAATAACAGTACTACCTGAGGGCTATGGGGCTCAGCCCTTGAAAGTTTTCTTAAAAGCTTTTAAAATTATTTTTTGGTTAAAAATACCAGTTTTTCTCCAATAGCTTTTAGGGCATGTGACCCATTTACTCCAAACCACTTTTAAATAACAGTAATACCTGAGGGCTATGGGGCTCAGCCCTTGAAATTGTTCTTAAAAGCTTTTAAAATTATTTTTTGCCAAAAAATACCAGTTTTTCTTCAATAGCTTTTAGTGCATGTGACCCATTTACTCCAAACCACTTTTAAATAATAGTACTAAATGAGGGCTATTGGGCTCAGCCCTTTGAAATTGTTCTTAAAAGCTTTTAAAAAAATTGTTTTGCCTAAAAATACCAGTTTTTCTTCAATAGCTTTTAGTGCATTTGACCCATTTACTCCAAACCACTTTTGAATAATAGTACTAAATGAGGGCTATTGGGCTCAGCCCTTGAAATTGTTCTTAAAAGCTTTTAAAACAAATTTTTGCCTAAAAATACCAGTTTTTCTTCAATAGCTTTTAGGGCATTTGACCCATTTACTCCAAACCACTTTTGAATAATAGTACTAAATGAGGGCTATGGGGCTCAGCCCTTGAAATTTTTCTTAAAAGCTTTTAAAATTATGTTTTGCCTAAAAATACCAGTTTTTCTTCAATAGCTTTTAGGGCATTTCACCCATTTACTCCAAACCACTTTTGAATAATAGTACTAAATGAGGGCTATGGGGCTCAGCCCTTGAAATTTTTCTTAAAAGCTTTTAAAATTATGTTTTGCCTAAAAATACCAGTTTTTCTTCAATAGCTTTTAGGGCATTTCACCCATTTACTCCAAACCACTTTTAAATAATAGTACTAAATGAGGGCTATTGGGCTCAGCCCTTGAAATTGTTCTTAAAGGCTTTTAAAAAATGTAAATGATTTTTTTGGTTAAAAATACCAGTTTTTCTTCAATAGCTTTTAGGGCATTTGACCCATTTACTCCAAACCACTTTTAAATAATAGTACTAAATGAGGGCTATGGGGCTCAGCCCTTGAAATTGTTCTTAAAAGCTTTTAAAATTATTTTTTTGGTTAAAAATACCAGTTTTTCTTCAATAGCTTTTAGGGCATTTGTCCCATTTACTCCAAACCACTTTTAAATAACAGTACTACCTGAAGGCTATGGGGCTCAGCCCTTGAAAGTTTTCTTAAAAGCTTTTAAAATTATTTTTTGGTTAAAAATACCAGTTTTTCTCCAATAGCTTTTAGGGCATGTGACCCATTTACTCCAAACCACTTTTAAATAACAGTAATACCTGAGGGCTATGGGGCTCAGCCCTTGAAATTGTTCTTAAAAGCTTTTAAAATTATTTTTTGCCAAAAAATACCAGTTTTTCTTCAATAGCTTTTAGTGCATGTGACCCATTTACTCCAAACCACTTTTAAATAATAGTACTAAATGAGGGCTATTGGGCTCAGCCCTTTGAAATTGTTCTTAAAAGCTTTTTAAAAAAATGTTTTGCCTAAAAATACCAGTTTTTCTTCAATAGCTTTTAGGGCATTTCACCCATTTACTCCAAACCACTTTTGAATAATAGTACTAAATGAGGGCTATGGGGCTCAGCCCTTGAAATTTTTCTTAAAAACTTTTAAAATTATTTTTTGCCTAAAAATACCAGTTTTTCTTCAATAGCTTTTAGGGCATTTCACCCATTTACTCCAAACCACTTTTAAATAATAGTACTAAATGAGGGCTATTGGGCTCAGCCCTTGAAATTGTTCTTAAAGGCTTTTAAAAAATGTAAATGATTTTTTTGGTTAAAAATACCTGTTTTTCTTCAATAGCTTTTAGGGCATTTGACCCATTTACTCCAAACAACTTTTAAATAATAGTACTAAATGAGGGCTATGGGGCT